CAAGCAACACTGCAATTGCACTCAATGTGAGTTCCTAGAAATGTCCTTTTTTGCTATGATTATTCACATTTATCCATGTATCTACCCTTCTATTCATCTATCAACCCATCTATTCATTTGGTTCTTATTAAGATTAAGACATTATCCAAATGCCATCCCTTCTTTCACCCTCTCTTTATCTCTCTTGTTCTGTCTGTCTGTCGTCTGTCTGTCTCTCTTCTCTCTCCTCTCTCTCTCTCTCTCTCTCTCTCTCTCTCTCTCTCTCTCTCTCTTCTCTCTCTCTCTCTCTCTCTCTTCTCTCTCTACCCTCTCTCTCTGTCTCTGTCTTTCTCTCTGTCTATCTCTCCTTCCCTCCCTCCCTCCCTCACTCCTTTCCCCTCCCTCTCCCTCTCTCTCTCCCTCCCCCTCTCCCCTCCCTCTCCCTCTCTCCCCCTCCCTCTCTCCACCCTCCTCCTCTCTCTTTCATCATCTCTTCATCTCCCTTCCTTCCCCCTTCCAGCTGGCATCGTAGTCCATGAGTGGGCCATGCCGGTGGGCTTTTACCATGAGATCGACGCCCAGACCGCGACGAGCATTGGTGGTCAACGAGAAGAATATCCTCAAGGACGAGAGATTCAACTTCTACAAACTGCACTGGCTCGACGTCTCGATCAAGTATGACCTGTCCTCGGTGATGCATTATAATACGCTGGTGAGTTTTGAGGAGAGGAGGAGGAGGAGGAGGAGGAGGAGGAGGAGGAGGATTTTCTTTGTTGTGTTGAATGGGGATGTGAGGATTTGTTGTTGTGTGAATGGGATAGGGATGGGTAGTGGTATGAGTGTGAATTGGATAGGGTATGGATTAAGGATGGGATGGGGTTGGTTGTGAATAAGGATTGGTGATATGTATAGATGATGGTAATGTTGGTGTGTATATATAATGATGGTAATGATGGTTAGTATGATATATGTGATATTGAATGTTGTATAGATAACTGTAATGTTGCTGTATAGAATAAATGATGATGATAATAATGTGTTGTATAAATAATGATGATGATAAAAATATTGTGTATAAATAATGATGATAATTATTGTTGTTGTATAAATAATGATGATGATAATAATTTTGTATAGATAATGATGATGATAAAATGTTGTTGTATAGATAATGATGATGATAAAATGTTGTTGTATAGATAATGATGATGATAATAATGTGTTGTATATAATAATGATGATGATTATAATGATGTATGAATGGCAATAATAATCATGTTTGTGGTGATTACGTGTTATGTTTGTAGGTTGTGTGACTTGGGTTGAGCGGTTACGGTGGGTGTTGTTTTCCGTAGCGTTTAGTTGTTATGCCTGTTCATGCTTTATCATAATTTTTATCTTTATTTATCTTATGCTCATGCTCATGCCTGGGGTTCTGAGCCTGGGCGGTCGGGTGGGTGGGTGGTGGGTGGGAGGGGTTGTCCTAGCCCTCAGATTCAAAGAGTGGAGGAGGGGGAAGCGGCAGGGGGGGGGGTAGGCGCTGGATGCCATAGATCCTACGCGTCCAGTCCAGGTCGAATTTTAGTTTTCAAGACTGATTCTGACGCATATGACTCACTTTAGAGTTGCTATTTTTTTTTTTTTTTTTTTTTTCAAATATTCAAGCGCGTTGCGTAGTTCAGTATTCTCTACTTATTTATCCATCTATCTATTTATGTATTATCTATCTATCTATCTATTTATCTGTTTATTTACCTACCAGATCAATTCAATTACATCTGGAAATATCACTTCTCAAAATCGTACAAACCAATGATACAAGTCAAATAGAATAATTATTTTTCTCTTTCTTTCTCTTTCTCTGTGTCTACATCCCTGTAATACCATTTTTTGCAAATCATGTAAACAATCAGTACCTGCAGACTTCGAAAAATACAATCTTTTTTGCATTCTCATTTTCAAACTGTCTGTAATGAAATGAGAGCCGCTGGGATTTTGGAAATTACCGAAGAGGAGGAGGAGGAAGGGGGAGAGAAAGAGGCTGAGAACCGCTGGCTTTATGAACACGGGAAGTGAGAGAAGAATGAACAAAGCATCTATATGTTTGTGTACTTTTTGATGTTGCTGTTGATGTTTTCATTACGATTTTGTTATTCGTGTTAGCGTTATTATCTTTTTTACTCTGCTCCATATCTCAAAATAAATATGATACTATATAATTTTTTATTGAGGAAAAATGTGGATTTTCGTATCTCAATACATATGAAATCAATATCTTGTGTTACATATAGATAGGTTTATTAAGTAGATAGATAGAATTGATAAGACCGAGTAGATAGGACTAGGTAAGTAGAATAGAGACAGTAGATAGATAGAAGGTAATATAAGACCTGGAGAGCAAGGCAGGATAGATAGATATATCAAAGGTAGGTTAGATAGACACGCACACGGATGGATCTGATGAATAGGCAGATAGATTACGCTGACTGATAGATAGAAAATTAGATAACGAGCATTAATTGCAGTTAAGGACAGTCAGTTGAGACCCATGACAGCAACCACAAGAGACACACACGTCAGACGAGACACACACACAGTGACAGACCACCACACACACACATCACACTCACACAACACACACAACAGACACACAGCCTATCATCTGTACCCTCCTACTACCTCACACTGTAGCCAATCTTCTTCTTGAGGCGTTCTTGTTGCAGTAGCAGAAGCTCATAGTCGAGGAAACTACTATCTACTCTCGACGCGCACCCGATCGGTAAGGCTGCTCAGACATTCTTCTACACGTGCTGACGTACAGCACATCATTTCATCTCCAAGGGTTATTCAGCCCGAGCCAGGTTAGCGATGGTCTTTGTATGGGTCATCTGTAAGTCGCTGATGCACACTAAATCACAACATCTCTTTCCATCTTAAGCCTTACAACACACACTACAATGCATCACAGACACACACGCCTGCGAATCTGAAGAAGCTTCACAAGCAACGAGAACCCAGTCTTAGGCCCCACAACAACTAATGACAAACACACAGACAGACCTACCTACATCAGACATGATTCTATCACATCTAGCACTTTCAGACCTAACACATCTACCACCGACAGACACACACACGAGACACTTGTACAGCTCCACACACAATCATCGGACACTTACTGTGGTCATCAGACTTAACACCACTCAGGGCAGCAGGTAGCGCACATAAAACGCGCAAGTATTACGCAGTATACGTGAGTAGATCCAGGCAATGTATAGATCGACCGTTTGTACCGGGCCGTCATGTCAAATGAAGACGCACGTAACTACTTTCAGCAGCAATTGCTTGAAGAGCAAAGGTCCCTCGAGATGCTCGAGCACGCAAACTAATGTTAGAGCAGTGATTTCAGTCTAGGACGTCTAACAGCACAGCGACACACGCTCACCAATCTGTTTGTGGTCATTGTTTATAGCATGCTTATCTTGTGTTGTTACCTTGACGACACGACTCCTCTTATTTTTTCTATTATCTTACCCATTTATCCACACACACAAAGAGACGAATCTAGCACACAACATCGTGGGCTACCTGTTTAAGCAGACAGTGGGTCGTCCGAGACCGCAGGCTAGTTGGCGAACCCATGCGTCCCAAGTGACTACGCTAGACGTCTTTTGACAGTCGCACACACTTACAGCAAAGCACTCCGCCCAATTCTCACCCTTCTCCGTTGGCCAGGAATGGTCGGGGCCAACGAGCGCAGCAATAACCGTGGCCACCTAAAGACCCTATGCTGCAGGCCTGCATAAGGCGCATGTGGAAGAGGGAGAGCTATGTTGGGTCTCTCCCCTGCGACAAGTCCCTGGCCACGACGATCTGTACGGATGTCTTGGTAGGTAATGTCCTGAGGGGGGTCCTTGGAGGGGTCCTGAGGAGGGTCTGAGAGGCGTCCTGAGGGGGTCCTGAGGGGTCCTTAGGACGGAGGGACCTTAGGGGTGTGGGCTCACTTAGGGGGTCGTAATAATTAGCTCGATAGTGATGTAGAAGTCGGGTCTCTTGAGCATAAGGGAGGGGTGGTAGATGACATGAGGGTCTGTTATTTCATAAGGATGTGGAAGCACGTGGCGCGAAACGGTCCTGTGTACTGCTTCTGTGTGTGTTGTGACGGCGCGGGTAGTCGGTCACGCGCGGCAAAGAGTCAAGGGTAGGAATAGATACCGGGGGTGGTCAACGTGGTTGAGGCATCTAAAGCCCAGGATCTCCTTTATGGTGGCGGAGCTCGCTTTAGGATGGTCTCGTGCCGTAGAGGGGGTCCGTTAGGGAGGCCTATGCAGGGGGGTTTAGGGGGTGAGCTGAGGCGGGGGGTTAACTTACGCTGTCTGAGGCCGCGGGATCCTGTCGTTCCGTTGAGGGGTCCTCCTTCGGAGGGGGTCCATGACGGGTAGATGAAGCGTCCCTTTTGTTAGGGGGTGTCCTTAGGGGGACGTTCCGTTAGGCGGGTGGGGTCCCTCTTGGTTAAGGGGTCTCTTAGGGGGTTTCCTGAGGGGGGGATCGTTAGGTGGGAAGGCACGGGGTACGAAGTGGCCTGGGACCGCGGAATGTGTTATGGCTAAGTTAAGTTAGTCTCGTTGAGGGCCGGGAAGTCCGTTGAGCTCCAGGGTGTGCGAAGATCCCTTAGAAGGGGGTCCTGAGGCGTCCTGAATGAGGGGTTTTACTTCTTTGGCGGTTCTAGGCAGTCGTTACGCATGGCGTAGCGGGGTCTCCGAGGGGTCGACGTGTTGACTCTCGGCGATGCAAGTTACGAGGACTCGCGCCAGGAAAGAGGGTGGGTAACTTTACCGTTTATTCGGTGTCCCTGGTGCATATTGAGGAAGTGGACCATATGTGTAGGTAATGGGCACTTTCTCTGAGGGGGGTCC